TCTGCGATGTCGGGGATCGACCTTCCGGGCTGCTCGTCGCTAATGTTTGGATTTCGATATGTTCTCTTCCAAGGGCGATAGAGGGCGCAGTTCACGATGGCCCCCGCGGACGCCGGGTGCACGCGCGCGGGGGGGCGGACTCATAATAGTCACCAATTAAAGTTCCATTCGGGTTTGAATGGTTGGCTTGGTGGCGCTCGCGGCAGCTTCGCGACTCGGCAGAGCGCTAAACTCGAGCGTGAATGCATCGGACATGCCGCAGGCAATCGGGTAGATTATCTCAGGAATGTCTCTAACGGCAAGCGGTCCAAGGCCTACAGCTCAGCCGAGAAGGCAAGGAGAGCCATTGTCCATTCGAGATTTTGAACACATCAACCGACACAGTCGCATGCTGGAGCTCCTGGAACCCCTTCCTCGTGCCCATCACCTCCTCTGCACGCCGCGCATCCCCCCTCGTCGACGCTCGCCCCACATTCCTGCCCGCGTCCTGACGCCTGCGCGCCGTGAGAAACAAACCGCGACAAGCTGTCCTGCTTATTTTTCGCGCCCTGGGACCCCCACGGTTCAATGTGGCTCGAGGGTTCTCGCGCTACACGTGGATCGACCCAGCTCTGGTCATGATTTTCACGACGTCGTGGTCTTCCTTTTTCTTTCACAGGGCGGCATTGAACATTACCAGGCTATATCAAGCAGTTCCAACCACATTCGGAATCCGGTGCTTTGTGGGCTCATGACAGAGGTTCCCCATCACCGGAACCAAAGTTTCCGCTCCCACGCAGGGCGCTTCAGCCATTCCACCGACCAGGGAGTTTCTCCGATTCGGGGATTTCGCAGGGCGAGGGACTTCGTAGGGAGATTCCAGGGGCATCGCAGAGCTGACCTTGGGCAAAGTGGAACATCGCAGAGACGATTCTGGGCACTTGGATCCGAACACGACGGCCCATCTTGGGGCCCTGTTGGGGCGCTCTTTGGGCCTCTCGGGTCCACTTTGGCACCCCTCCGGGGGGTCTCGAGACCGTCTTGGAGAGTATTCGAATCGTCTGAGGGGGTCTCGGGGTGGTCGCGGGCCGTCGTGGAGTTGCTTTTGGACCAAGTTGGAGGCCAGCTTGGAGCCTTGGGGCTATGTCGGGGTCGTCCCGGGCCGTCTTGGCGTTACCCCGGTGCCTCCTGGGTTCGCTCGGACGTCTCTGGAGGCCCCTGCGAGGCTGTCTTGAGCTCAAGAGGACGGACCGATAAAACCGATCCAGGCTGCCCGCCACGCGGGCGAGGCCATCCTCGCCAACCCCCCAGGCCTCGCGCCACCCCCATGCCCATGCTTCGTCAACAGGAACGCCAAATCCACGGAGACTGGCACGGCGATCCCCCCAGACCCCCAAGACGGAAAGAACGCTAACACCATAACGCACGTCATGGTTCGCCACGCCCGGGCGCTGCACCACAGCGTCGACGACGCTTGGCGGACATGGACCGACTACACAGGAGCAGCGGTCACCATCCCAGCAGGCAACCCCGAGAGATCCAAGGGCCTGGACGGAAGACGACTGCAAAGGCTCCCTCGCGAGCATATACGGCGCACCATCCCCAACAGCGGGAGCCCGGAACGAACGCAATGGGATGGGAAACAAGCTGCCTTGGCGCACCTAGTCGCTTACCTCCGGAGGCAGAAGACCCAGCCCGCCGAGGGAAAGCAAGAAAAAGAAGCATATATATAGAATACCTACCGCCTGAATGACCACCGACAGGCACGCGACATTGGCCAGGGCCCTAACGGGCACAGCCGGGAGTTCATCCTCGGATTTCTGGCCTCTCTAGGGTACCGAGACCTACAGACCCCGATGATCGCTCGTTTCGACCCGAACACGGCTGCCCACCCCGGCGCCAAGCCCAACTACAACAAGATCAGGGCAGGCCCGTCCCCCGCGCTGCTCAGCACGGACACGCCACGCGGCGGAACTCCGGGGGAGGCCAGCATCCCCGCCCAGGGGGCCCACTGCGGGGGCGCCCACCCTTCCCGCCCCGCGCACCCGCCCCCAGCCGAAGGGCCCACCCAGGGCATGGCCCCACCGTCCGCCCACACCGTCTCTCGCGCGCGGTGAAATCGATTTCGGCGACCCCCGCGAACCCCCCCGCCGGCGCGCGCGAGTGCTCACCAACCCCCCAGCTGGCGCGCCAAGCCCCCACTGCGGCAGGGGGCGACAACAGCGTCGACCCAAGCCCGGGCATCCGCGCGGGCTGAGCGGCAGATGGGAGCACGGCTGACGAACCCGACGGCGAACGCGCACGCAAGAACCCTTGAACCGCAGAGAGAGAAAGAGAAAGAGAGAGATAGAGAGAGAGAGAGAGAGAGAGAGAGAAACAAAAAAAAACAAAACAAAAAATGCGACCCCTACCGCCCCCCCGCCGCCGGGGGAGACGCGTCGCCCAGCGGGCGCCCAGGCCGCGCACGCCCGCCTTTCCCACCGCACTGGGCCCTCACATCCACGCCAGGTAAACGCCCCACCACGACCCTCACGGTCAACGGCCCTAACGACAGCCTCTACAATGAGCCCCGCCAGGGCATCCGCTGGCACCGCGCATGGAACGACCAGGCCCGCCGGCGCGCGCCCTGGCCAGAAGTCGTCAACAGGCTGAAAAATGAATGCGGACCCACGCTCGTCATCGGTTGGAGCGCACTCTGCGGCCAGCGGGATGGACGGCCAGGAGCAACTTACAAATCCCACGGGCAGGGCCACCTCTGCGAGGAGGTCGCGCGCCAGCTGCGGGAGGAGACCTTCGACGTCCGCCAGCTGCGCAGGAAGCGGAGCATCCGCATCGACCGGCACGCCGCCGGGGACAAGAACGTTCGAAGGATCGAGCAGATGCATTCCGACATGGGCAAACGGCAAACGCAAGGGCCAGGGCCCAACAGGGAAAGGCAAGCGGAGCGCCGACTCAGCCTGGCCCAACAACGAGCAGACCAGGCAGCGCCTTCCCCACAGCCGCACACCATACTCCTGACGCGCCTCCAGGACCGTCGGAGAGCGGGACTCGCCACCCACGGCGCGCCAGAGGCCCCACACGAGCAAGCGCCCTTCCCAGACCACGGCCGGAACGCTGCACGCCCCCAACCCACCCACAACTCCCGGGCCCCACCTCAGCGGCCGCCTAACTCGCCCACCGCCCCCCCCGCGCATCCCTGGGACTCCCCTGCGCCACCGCCAGTCCACGTCCAGCTCCTGCTATCCTGGTCCTCTTCTGAGCCTACGACCAAACCGCTCCTGCTGCGCGCCCCCCCTGGCGGCGCGCGGCTCTGCTCAGCGCCCAGCCCATGCCCGCGCCCCCTGCCGGGCCGGAAGCGCGCCCGGGCCCCAGTTTTGCGCGCCATGGCGCGCCCACTGCCGCCCACCCGGGCCGCGGCGGTCGCTCGCCTTTGGCCCCTTCCCACGCTGCGCACCCTGTCCACTCGGTCTGGGGGGCAGCCTCTTTTTTTCTTCGTCAACGCGCACCGGCTAGGTGCTTCCCCTTCGCCCGACCCCCCCCTGCCACCTTTATTGGGGGCGCCGGCTTACGCTGCTGCTCTGGCCTGCCCCGGCGCGCCCGCCGCCGCGTCTTCCCGTCGGCGGGCGAGCCCCCACCCACCCCCCACGGCCCACCTTGTCCACCCTGGCATGGGGGCCGTCGCCCTGCTTTCTGCCGCGCACCTGCGCGGCGCCCCCCCCGCCCCCCCGCCCCGCCCAGCGGGGTGGAGGCGCTGGCTCCTGCCGCAGCGTTGGCCGGCAGGGGCGGGTTCGCTGCCGCCCACCGCGACGGCGGCTGCCCCCTCGCCCCCCCCCCGCTGGCCCACCCTGCCCACCTGGGCAGAGGGGCCGCGCCCACCTTCACTCGCCAAGCACCAGTTAGGCGCCGACTTGTTTCTCACAGCCCCGCCTCCCAGGCCCCGCCATGTCCCGGTTCACGGCCGGCTCACCCTGCCCAGCCAGGCAGGTGGAGCCCTCCTGGTGCCCCGCTGGGCGCTCGCTGGGCGCCGCCCCCCGCCCCGCGCGGCAGCGCCCGACGCCGCTATTGCTGCCAGGCGCTGCCGCCCCGCCTGCAGGTTTCCGCTGGCGGGGCGTCCTCCCCCCTGTCCGCTTCTCCCTCCCCCGCTCTCTCTCTCCCTCCCCCCGCGCGCCGCCATGGCGACGGGTGGCTGCTTGCAGCCTGCGCTGCCGCCCCGGGCCTGGCCTTGCCGCCGGCCGCCGCACCGGCCCAGCATCCGCCTGGGTACACCGCGCCCGCTCCCGTCCTGGGGGACGCACCGGCATGTATTTTTGATGTTGGCAGTGTTCGCATCACATCCTGAACCAGCTGGCTCGTCCCAGCACCCGCACTGCGCCCAGCCGCCGCCGGGCCCCTACGCAGCAGCCGCCGGGGGGACCGGCCGCGCCATTCGTTCCGGGTTGGACCCGTCCCTTTGAGCGGCCCTCGTTATTTTTCTTCTCTTTCGGCCGCCCTCCCTGTCCCCCTCCATTTCTTGCATTGTGGAAAAAGTCGTTTCAACGGTATCCCCGTTTTGATTGCTCTTCCGCTAGCATAATTACTCTGCCTAGCCGCCAACGTACAAAAAAACGTTTGGCGCTCGGGGGCCCCCAGCGGAGCCATCTCGGAGCCTACGGGTTGCATGTTGGGGTCATTTTGGCGCCATCCCGGGACTATTCGGGGCACTCCCATAGCCAATGTTTGGTCATCCCGGACTTGCTGGGAGGCCGTCTTGGGCGATGTTGGGCCATGTGGGGGAGCATTGCGAAATCGATGCATCCCGTCTTATCCTTGTCGTCCTCTTGCACTCTTCTCGTTATTTTGCTCACCGTCCCATACATCCGTCTCCCTCCCTTCTTTTTCAAATTGAGCACGTTCCTCCTACCCCTCCTTCTCCTCCTCCTCCTCCTCCTCCTCCTCTTCCTCCTCCTCCTTTTCCTCCTTCTCCCTTTCCTCCTCCGTTTCCTCCTCCTCCTCCTCCTTCTCCTCCTCCATCTCCCTCCATGGGTCGGGCTGGACGCCGAGACGAGGTTCCGGCGGCTGAAGGACCACTGGATGGCGGAGCAGGCCCGCTGGGAGGAGGACCGCGAGCACTGGGAGGATCCATCGACGAGCAATAACAACAAACTACCGAGGGACGTACACAGCCCATGCGAAATTAGCAGCAGCCTCAATGGATCCGCTCTGCACGAAGGATGGTCGGACAAGGCGCGCGATCCATTGTGGAAGCTACACCACATCGGTGGCTTTTTGGTTTTGCACGCCCCATGAGAACAATATGCAGCAATTCCGAAAAGCGGGAAATGGAGAGCGAAAGACAGAAGGAAAACGACAACCAAGAGAAGGGGGCAGGTTAAGACAGCAGGGGAATGAGAAGATGGCGAAGACGAAGACGAGGACAAGAGGCAGACACAAGACGGCATTGAGGGCGTTACGTCGATGCTACAGGAAGGCTCCTGGATCGAGACTAATGAACGGTTTCGCTGTATGTTTTTCGCACCGCTCTGCGGAGGGGCTTGGAATATCCGCAGGCGCGACGCCAGGTTATCCGAGGTCGCGGCATCGGACAACCCGGTATCTTGCGCTACAGATAGTCCACTTCATGTATGACACTACATCGGTAGCACCATATAGCGTGCACCACGGAGCAAACAGCACATGGAATGCACCGCACAGATTGCACCACACAGCATGCGCCACACGGAGTGAGCCAGACTGCGACCAGACTGCTGCTCGCACCACACATCTTTTACAAATCCAGACTCCAAGGATTCGCTGCCTGGGGCCCATCCTGGATACAGTCGGGGCCCTGAAGAAGGAACCCTTTTCGTTGGGGAGGGGCTCCGCGTGCCTTTAGTGTTTCGCAGCTTGCCTCAGGTTTTCCTCAGGTTTTCGATATGAAATCGAAGTTTAACTCATGGAAAATAGGGGCCTCGTTCCTTATTTGGGGTTCCTTAGGTCAACGCCCCGACTGTAGGTCTGGCAGCCGCTGCAGCCTGGGCCTCGACGTCGGGCCCCAGGAGAGTACCGATCGCGCGGTGGCGGCAGCACCTTTTTCGGAGCTCTCTCGACGAGACCTCGCGTTGCCAGCAAGAGTCCCCTCGTTCCTGATTTTGGGTTCCTTAGGTCAACGCCCCGACGGTACAGTGACCGTTGTTCTGTCGTCCTCTCCCGCCCCCGGCGAAGGAGGAGCGGCAGCACCTGAAGCGGTCCTTAGAGACGGAGCGCGGCAAGCGGCAGGCGGCCGAGGAGCGCTGCGCGGGTCGGGAGGGGGCGAAGCGCAGGCGCGGCCGCGCTCGTCCTCCTCCTCCATCTCCTCCTCCTCCTCCTCCTCCTCCTCCTCCTCCTCCTCCTCCTCCTCTCCCTCCTCCTCCATCTCCTCCTCCTCCTCCTCCTCCTCCTCCTCCTCCTCCTCCTCCTCCTCCTCCTCCTCCTCCTCCTCCTCCTCCTCCATTCCTTCTCCTTACAGAGAACTCCTCCCTGTCGCACCCCGAGGCCAGTTTGTAGGGCGGGCCGGGTGTTTCGCCTGAGACTGCTTGACCATTTAAGATTACGAAGCGTAAAGGGGGCAACAGTTTCACAGATGGAGGGCGGGTGGTTTTCAAAATGTGGCTCTCGCCTTAGCGCGGCGCACTCTCGTTTTGAATATTTGCAAGAGTTTCACGGACTGAGGTCGGGTCGTTTTCAAAATGTAGTTCTCGCTTTAGCGCCGCGCACATTCGTTGCAAAAAAATGCAAGAGCTTCACGGATTTAGGCCGGGTGGTTTTCAAAATGTGGCTCTCGCCTTAGCGCCGCACACATTCGTTTAGAAAAATTGCAAGGGATTGACGGATTTAGGGTGGGTGGTTTTCAAAATGTGGCTCTCGCCTCAGCGCCGCGCACATTCGTCTAAAAAATTGCAAGAGTCTCACGGATTGAGGGCGGGTCGTTGTCAAAATGTGGTTCTCCCTTTAGCGCCGCGCATATTATTTTCAAACATTTGCAAGAGTTGCATTGGCTGAGGGCGGCTCCTTTCCAAAATGTGGCTCTCGCTTTAGCGCCGCGCACATTTGTTAACAATAAATGCAAGAGTCTCACGGATCCCCATGATCAACGTACCAGAATTTGTGTTTCGGAAGGAATCAGGATTATGCGGGCGCAACAGTTATGTTCATTCTTTATGTTGAAGTCCCAAAAATGGCGTTCTGGCACGATTCTGGATCGTCAAGACACAGCAGTCAGGTTGATACGTGGCGTTGAAATCCTGAGAACAATGTTTTGGCACGCTTCAGGATATTCAGACAGTTGTCTTCCAACGAGGCAGTTCCTTCAATGGAAATGAACCGTCCTATGAAGAGGGAGCTTCGAGGGAGGGTTAATTCCAACATCGTTGATGACTCTTGGATTTCCACTGGTCCTCCTCCTCCTCCTGCTCCTCCTCCTCCTCCTAGTCCTCCTCCTCCTCCTCCCCCTCTCGAGGAAACGCAAACATGGATCAATCGGCGGCCAAATCTGGAGCCTACCCTCGCCGATCAACGATTCAGGCAATTCGATAGGCGGCAGGGGTAGGGTTCGGAATTCGTCGAACGCGTGGCGAAATCCGAACCCTACCCCCGCCTCCCGTCGACTCAGGAGCATGGTGGGATCATGGCTCGGATGTCGCCACCTACTGACGGCGCGTGGACTATAGCGACGGTTCTCGCTTCCGTGCAGGATCGGCGCGCTGCGTCGCCAAATCGGGCGCCAGTGGCCTCATGGTTCGGGGGTACGTTCCCCGGTCCGTGGATCTGGGGCCACACGCCAGATCCGCGGGTGTCTGATCCATGTTGGCGTGCCCAATATCTGCTCCCCCCCCGGGAAGGGGGGGGCAGGGAAGCGGCAGGCCACGAGGGAGGTCGTGGAAGTGCCGTTGCTTCTGCTCCCACTCTGCGCTTCTCCTGCCCCGGAGGTCTTTGGAGGTCTCCGAGGTCCCCCGGAGCTCTCTGGAGGCCCCCAGAGGCCTCTGGACGTTGCAGAGGCCGTCGGCGGTCTTCAATGGGAGCATGTCAATAGAAGTTACGATGCTCAACCCTCGAAGCTCGAACCTCGAGCCTCCTCCCCATCCCGCCTTGTTTTCGTCGTCACCATCATCCTCAGTAATTGTTCGCAGGTCCTGGGCCTGGAAGCTGTTTCCATACTCCGATAACAGCAAAAACTGACTCCGACTTGACGATTGCTGCAACCGGTTTGAGGTCAGGGTCCCCGTCGTCAACGCCCTGATCATCCTAGGTCTGGCAGCCGCTGCAGCATGGGCCTCGACGTCGGTCCCCAGGAGAGTACCGATCGCGCGATGGCGGCGGCGCCTTTTTCGGAGCTCTCTCGACGAGACCTCGCGCTGCCAGCAAGAGTCCCCTCGCTCATCGATCGAGCAATATTCCCAGGCTTCCAGCGTCTTGAAACAAAAATTCGAGTTGGAGGTTCTTCACCACTTTCGGCGCCCAGGTGCTGTTTCTGGGCCCTGGAAAACCCAAAAACGTGATTCAGTATGAAACTGGCCCTGGAGAAGGGGTCAAAGTACCTGGGGGTCCATGTCTCGAAATGTCGATCCGCTGAATGTCTGGGCTCGTCAATCGACCACGATGATTGACGTTTCGTGCCCTCCCACCAGCCCATCCAGAAACGATTCCAGGGCGAGTTGGCGCAAGAAGGGAAGTGGAGGGGCATTAGTGGAACAAGGACTGGGGACACCAGTGAAGCCGAAGCTGGGATTAGCCCGAGCAGCCCTCCACAACGGCCGTCTGGACGCCCGCAAAAAGCCTCTTGGAGGCCCTTTGGAGGCCTCCTACACCATCCAGTTTCAGACACTGGTCCCCGAACTTGTGAAGCGACCGCAATTCGCACGGCGGTTGCCAAATGTTCCGGTTATTTGTTCTATAGTGTATTCCTCCTGCCCCTCCTCATCCTCCTCATCCTCCTCCTTTCTACATTCCTTTCCTCGTGTAGATAACTCTCCCTGCCTCTTATAAAAACTCCTCTTATAGATAACTCCTTCCTCTATAGATAACTCTCCTTGCCTCTTATAGATAACTCCCCCTGCCTCTTATAGAAACTCCTCTTGTTCTAACTCCTCTTATAATAACTCCTCTTGTACGAATTCCTCTTATAGATAACTCCTCTTATAGATAACTCTCCCTGCCTCTTCTAGAGACTCCTCTTACAGAAACTCCTGCCTCGTATAACTATAAGAGGAAAGGAGTTGTCTTTCTTCTTATAGATAACTCCTCCCTGCCGCACCCCCGGGCGTATCGGTAGGGCGGTCCAGGCGTCCCACCTGAGATTTCCTGATCCCGGAGCTTGAACTTTGCAACGGCTAAACGGATAGAAGGCGGGTCCTTTTCAGAATGGAAATCCCGCCTTAGTTCCGCGCACAATTGTTTAAAAAAATTGCAGCAGCTTCAACGACGGAGGGCAGGTCTTTTTCAAAACCAAGTTCTTGCCGCAGCGCCGCGCACATTCGCTTTAAAAGATTGCGGAAGCTACATGGACGAATGACGATACGCTTTGACATGAAGGTCCCGCCTTAGCGCCGAAAGCATTCGTCTCAGTATCTTGCAACAGATACGTGTATGAAGGCCAATAAGTAATCAGCATGCGGTTCCCGCTTTAGCGGCGTGCAGAATCGTTGAAGAAGTTTGCATCTCTCACATGATCAAGGGCAGTTGACTTTCGACATGAGGCTCTTCCTTGAGACTTCCTCAAATTCAACGAACTGACATTGAACATATGTGACAGCTGCACGCGAATGGAGGGAAGCTCCTCTTCACAATGGGGATACCTCGTGGGAGCCCTTCCAATGTGGTGGGCAGATGTGCACCAGTTGCGCAACATATACACAGATGGGGGCGGCCCCTTCTTCAAAGCGGGGTGTTCGTTAGGCACCTCGTTGGGTCTTGTGACCTTACCTCTCTCACATTCATCATCACCCACAAGAAGGACGCAGGGCAGCTCCTTTTCACAGTAGGGCTCTCGCCTGAATGGAAGGCCCGTAGGGCGCTCGTCTTTCAACATGGATCTTCTCGCGAGGAAGGGACTTGGGGAGGGTGTATTGCAGCGTTGTTGATGCATCCTGGGTTCACTCTGGTCCTCCTCCTCCTCCTCGTGCTCCTCCTCCTCCTCGTGCTTCGCCTCGTGCTCCTCCTCCTGCTCCTCCTCCTCGTGCTCCTCCTCCTCGTCCTCCTCGTCCTCCTCCTCCTCCTCGCGCTTCTCCTCCTCCTCCTCCTCCTCCTCCACCTCCTCCTCCTCGTGTTTCTCCGCCGCCTCTCCCTCCCGCGGAGTGGCCTCGGGGGACCTCCAGCCTCCAGAGGTCTTTTGGAGGCCCAGTGGGGAACCGACGGAAAGTCTGAAAGTTTCGGCCCTCGATGATCTTCCTCGTCACGCCTCTCCGCTTTTCCCGCCATCTCCACTCCCTCCTCATGCCCGCCTGCCTGCCCGAGGTGTGCCCGTTTCTGGCCGTGCACAGCACGCAGCACAATCAGCAGCCATGGCGGGGTGAGTTTGTGACGGCCGTCGGCGACGCTTCCCGGTGCTCTCATCCGTCAAATACGGCATGGCTTGCCGGCAGGTGCCCCACGGAAGCTTCTCATCCCCCAGAAGTTGTGGGGGCTCACAGAAGCCTGGAGGCACATCCGGAAGGTCAAGTTTCGACGAAGCACGTGCCCCCAGATCTCTCATGTCAAGATTTATGGTTGCGTGTGCCGACTGTTTTGCTCCCGTCACTCCGCTCCCCACCCCCATCGTCGGAGGAGGCCGAGCGCGTGGCGCGCGCCAAGATCCGCATCGCCGACGAGGCGACGGACCGCGTGAAGGAGGAGAGCCGGGCCGTCCTCGAGGCGCGCATGCAGCACGAGGCGGCGAACTACCAGGTCCACGGCACGCAGAGAGTCGGCGGCGCGCCCAAGTGGGGGAAGGCAGAGGGGGGGCGGGCCTTCTCAGAAGGCTCAGAAGGTCTCCAGCCTGTCGAGCAGTTCTCTCGAAGCCTTGTCCGAAGCCCCGCCGCCTTGTGAGAAGGCCTGCCCCCTCTCACTTCCCCCCATCGGCGTGCCGCCGAGGGAACCAAAAGGCGGCACACAGATGAATGTTCGGGGGTGCCGATCTCTTGAGCTCATTCTCCGTCCGAGCGAAGGGGCGTGATCATCTCTGAAGAGAACGGGAAGGGGGATGGAGGGACAGAAGGGCAAGAGCTTGCATGCTCGAAGCTCCGCGAGGAGCTCTCGGGTCGGCGCCGGGCCCTCTCCTCACGCCTCTGGGCGGCGCCTCCTCACGCCGCTGGGCCGCTCTCCCCACGCTGCTTCTCACTGCTCCCCCGCTGGGAAGGAGCCTGGGGAGAGCGGCCCAGTTCAGCCCCGAAAAATTCGCGCCAACCGATTTAGAACACATTACATAGATGTGTATATATCGACATGCATACATACATACATACATACATACATGCATGCATGCATGCATGCATGCATGCATGCATACACACACACCTACATACATACATACATACATACATACATACATACATACATACATACATACATACATACATACATACGTACGTACGTACGTACGTACGTACGTACGTACGTACGTACATACATACATACATACATACATATATCGAGAGAGACAGAGAGAAAGAAAGAAAGAGAGAGAGAGAGAGAGAGGCCCGGGGGTGCCGGGGAGCCCTGACAGGCTTTCAGATTGCTCCCAGGTGGCCCGAGGTCGCCGAAAAATCGCTCCAAGACGCCCAAGATGGCTCAAGACGGCCGTGAGGCCCCCAAGACGCCCCAAGAGGCCCCCAACAGGACTCCCAAGAGGATCTCAAGAGGCAAAAATAGTCCCATTCCCTTGGCATATATATATATATAGAGAGAGAGAGAGAACAATATATACATATATAGATATATATATATATATATATATAATATATATATATATATATATATATTCGTTTCTGAGAGCATCCATGACGGCCCGCGAGGCCTCCAACATCGCCCCAAGACGGCCCAAGAGGCTCCCTACAGGGCTCCAAGACGGCCCAAGAGAGCTACAAGAAGGCCCAGAAGCAGCTACCCGAACAGATATTTCAAGCTTTCGGCCCCAAGACGCCCCCAGGAGGCCCCAGGAACCTTCAAAAAAGCCCCCAAGAGGCCCCGAACAGGCCTTCAGCCTTCAGCAAGCCCCAAAAGGCCCCCAAGAAGCCCCCAAGAGCCCCCTCCCCAGACGCTCTGAGGCACTCATGGCGATCCCGAAGCTTCCAGGGAGGAGAGGCGATGAACGGCCGTCCTGACGCGATCTTGGGCCGTCTTCGAGCTCAAGGTGCCCGCATGGCCCAACAGGTCCCAGAAACACCCGAAGAGAGCCTTTTCCAGGGTTCCCAAAATACCCTCCAGAAGAAAGCTACCAGGGGACGGACCCAACCAAGATGGCCCCCTGAGCGCCCCAGAGGCATCCACGGCTCCCCCAAGAAGCACCCAAGAGGCGCCCAAAAGATCCCACGAGGCCCTAAAGAGGCCCAACGAGCCTTCCAGAAGCCCCCAAGAAGACATATTATTTTCATATCATGTATGGAGAGAGGTAGTTACAGATACAGATGTAGTCCCGCTATGCCGCCATGGCGTTATAGGCGATGCCTCGTTGTTTTCTTGCGCCCGGCCTCCGCCTCCTGCATTGCGACCTTGCTCCCGCGCGCGCGCCCCCAATATCCAATCGTCGGTGCATCGCGCGGAAGATTTGATTTGTTAGCGGCGGTTCCGCGTTTTCCGCGCTCGGCCCGAGCTGCGCGCTCGTTGCCGCGCCCACCTCGCGCGGCCCAATCGGGCGCTCGCGCCATGTCAGAGTCTCGCTTGGCCGCCTGGGCAGCGCGCGAGAGCACGCGCGCGCATTCGTCCTGGCGACCTCAAGCATGCGATGATTGCGCCAACATGGCAGCCTGCAGCCGCCATGCGCAGTTCCTCATGCGATGCGCCCCGTTGTCGTGACGACGCTGGCCCCCGATTAAGGGCCGCGCGCAATGCTGCCCTCGCAGACTGAAGCGCCGGCGCGAAAACACAACGCAACACCGCGTAATCATTGAAAACCACGCATCCAATTCAGGAACCATTCGGGCACAGCTCGGGCACCATAACTGACTTGGGCCCGTTCGCCCACGACCACTTCATGCTTCCAACCCTCCAACACGGCCGAAGAGGCCCCCAAGATCGCCCCAAGATCGCCCAAGAGGCTCCCAAGACGGCTCCAAGACGGGCCGAGAAGGCCCCAAGATTGCCAAAGAGGCGCCCAAGACAGCTCCAGACCACCCCAGAACAGGCCCAAGATGAGCCCAAGAGCGGGGGCAGGAGGCTTCCAGAGACCTCCGAGAGGATTCCAGGACCCCCCAGAGGCTTCCAACACACCCCAGACCCTTGAGAGGCCCCCAAAAAGCCCCGGCAGAGCCCGAAGAGGGTAAAATCGTTGATTTCACATTGGTTTTTGTCTACGTTTTTCGCTTTCACGTTTTCCCGCTTCCCACGCTCAAAGACCCAGGAATTCGAAAAAAATGAAATTCAAGACATTCCTTTTTTTTCCGAAAATGGGACTGGACTCCCACTCCCTATCCTCTTCCTCGAGCCCCATCAAGACTTCGGAATCACATGCAAAGATGTTTCGGGGATATTGTTGAAGTCTCCGACGCTGTCTCGGCACTCTCTAGGATCGTCTTCGCGTCCTGATGGCTGCCCCTGGAACCACCGTGGAAATCGAGATCCCAAGATCCCATGAGCTGAATATTTGAAATCCCCTTTGTATCTCAAACCCATCACCTTCTTTTGTTGTGCACGAAGATCCCGAGACGCATCTCAACGGACCGCGGCCTGTATCCAGAAAGCATCTAACCCACAGCCCAGGCACGGCAATTTGAAGAAAATGAATTCCCACAATTCCTTGTTTTTCAAGTTCGCCCCCAGCCTTTGCACAACGGGCCACAATCAAGGCCCCCCTTCAGCTCCCCGAGAAGAAACCGAGAAACGTATGAGGGCCCCAAATCGCTGAAATTCAAAAGGTAAGTAATGATTTCCGCGTTTCCGCAGCTCCCCTCCTATACGGTTCCGAGGCCTGCGCAGGGCCCCCAAGCGAGTCCCTGGATGCAAGAAGCGGCAAAAATGAGATTCCATGATTTAGCCCATAAGCATAGCTAGATTCTGAGCGCGCGCGAAGCGCGCGCGATGGTCCTAGTGCTTGTATATATATATATATATATATATGTAAATATGTGTGTGTGCGTATGCGTGTGTATTCATACATGTAAACGTACATACATACATACATACATACTTACATACATACATACATACATACATACATGCATATACACGCATATACATGCATACGTACATGCATACATACATATGTGTACATGTACATCTATAAATATATATATATATATATATATATATGTGTGTGTGTGTGTGTGTGTGTCGCATCGCTCATCCTGGATCCCGCCGCAATTGCGACGCTCAAGTCTTTGAGAGTGCGTGGTTTGCCCGAGCCCATGCGTTCAGGAGGGTTTAGTCTTCACCTCCTCTGTCATCTGGGCGCTATCGGCGCGGCGCGCTGGCAGTGGTCCACCTCCCTCCCCCCGAGGGCGGAGCCGCGCACTTCGGGCGCCAGCGTGGCCAGCCTGGACGAGCACGCCGGCTCCTCCACCTTTGCGCCACGGTCCGAGTGCCTGGCCGCTGCGCTGGAGGCCAAAGGGCCTATCGCAGGCTGCCCAGATTCGTGCACCCCTTGCGCGGCCTGCGAGGCAGGCGAGACGGGCTTGACGTTCCAGCTGGGCTTCGGGCTGCTAACCTAACTGTTCCTGGAGGTGCTCAAGACGGCGGTGAGGCTGGCGCCCAGCGCGGCACAGACCTGCCTGCCTGGGCCGCGGGCTTTGCCCACGGCCGGCGGCGAGCCGACGCCGGATCAGCAAGAGTCGCCAGACCCCGCGAGGCTCGCGGCGGAGCAGGCTAGGGCAAGTCGGGGTCGCAGACGGTTGGCGAGCGCGGTGCGCTGAGCTACATCCTGACGCCCGACTTCGACGACTACGACGAGCCGAACGCCCCTGGGCCCGACCTGGAGGAGGTGGCCCGCTTGGCAGGGCAAAGGGGCGGTCCCCCTGCCATGGCTGGCGGGAATGCACACCGCTTCAGGCGCCAGCCTACGGCCGCGGAGGCCTGGGGCGCCGCGGAGCGGGCCGTGGCTGCCGGCTTCCCGCCGCCGCTGCGGGGGCCGCTGATGCTGGACCTGGCATCCTCGGGGCGCCTGCCGGGCAGCATCCGCCGGCCAACCCAGCGGTCGCGGCGGCGCTGGGAGGGGTTGCAGCGGCGGGCGCCGCTGGCGGCCCAGGTGCCGCGGGCGCGGGGGCCGCCCCAGCCGCGGCCGGCGCGCCGGCGGCCGCGCCAGCCGCAGGCGCGCCGGCGGCAGGCGGAGGCCTCGCCGGCCTGGTCTCGGCTCTGGGCGGCCCTGCCGCCAGCGCGCCGGCGGCCGCGGGGGAGCCGGGATCGCCCGGAAAGGTGCCACACCTACGAGAAGCTGATGCAGACGAGGGTTCCGGGGCCAAGAAGTCGCGCCAGACCGCGAAGTCCAGCGCGAAGAAAAGGAGGAATCAGGACCAGTTCGAGAGGACCGCGTCCAAGGGGACTCGATCTCCATAAGCAAGACCGTGGACGACGGGGACGTCGCTCCCGGGAGACAAGAGGCCATCGACCTGTCCATCGCAGCCCCCTCCAAGGACGCCTTCCACCGTTTCGCGAAGGACCCCCGCCTGTCTGCGGCAACACAGGCGCGGCGTCAGCGCATGGAGGTGAGCGAACAGAAGCTGGACGACAAGGACGAAGCCAAACCAAGTTCGACGCAG